CTCCTAGCAGTAGTCCCGCAGCCAGAGCGCGCTTTGACGGTTTCTCCACGTGATGCTGGTTAGGGTGGGATTTTTAGCTCGGATCCTCCAGGGATCGCGGCCTCGTGACCACCAGAGGAGTACAGGCGAGTCCTTTACTAAAAACTTCAAACGCAGTACCTGACCTTGACCAAATGGAGCAAAGCGTAAAGGTCACCTGCAAGCATTAAGTGTCCCCAAATGCAAGACTGGGTCCCCAGGCTGGAGACGGACGCGAGGGAGGGAAAGGCCGCAGCCCGAGCAGCCAGCCAGCCCCGGGACACAAACCCAGCCGCAAGCGCCGCTCTCCTCCGACCTCCTCCCCGCCGGCCCCAGGGAATGATTTATTCTGAAACCCTCCGGCCCAGCTTGTCCCTTCAGATGGCTCTGCCCACAAGACCGAGGGAGAGAGACCTCTCATACATAAAAGCTGGAAACATTCGCTTCATCCAGCTTACTTCACTGCCACTCCCAACTCTGTGATTTCTGTGAGAATCTCAGCAGTTGGGTGGAAGCAGAGGATATATTTTGTCTGAAGATAATAAATTTAGAAGAACACGTGTCTTTCAAATAACAAGTGGAATGATATATGATACTATGATATATGTTAGCTAGAAAAAAAATACTACCTCCGAATGTATCATCCTTTTTTTGTTGTCACCCATTTACCAGGCAACGGAGCCATAATGATAGATCAAACAATGTCCCAAGTTATATCCTCATCCAGTCTAAGCAGAGTTTCGCAAGCTCAGTAAGCTGGGAGGATAATTACGAAACTGCCAAGAACCGTGCAATGATTGGGAACGCGTTAATTATAAAACTATTATGTATTTACACAGCACATTTAAAGTAATTCAAACATTTGGATTAAAACAGTTAAGTAGTATTCCCATTGTATAGACGAGGAAGTTAAGGCACGACAAAAAAAAAACCCCGCTCAGCACCGCTCGGAGTCAGAGGATCGCCCACCTTCTAGGAGACCCAACAGTTCTCATTTTGGAGAAGTCTAAAGGTTTCTGCCTAGGAGGAGAAACAACTCAAAATGAGACAGATCGGGCCTTGGGGTCATTTTACAAAAGACACGCACTGGAATATGTATCACGTATTGAGAATCAGGCTCAAAGCAAGACCATCTGAAACGGATCTGCTGGGACAGTTTCGTACATAAACCGCATCTGGGTTTTTTTTCCTGTTTGGCCTCCGGTATCCTTAGCTTTTAAAACACATACACAACTTTTCTTTCCGTTTTAAAGGCTGAAAACCGACACGAGAAATGTCTTGCTTTGCAGAAAAGAGTCTTCAATGAAGGATGATACCAGCTAAAAATCATGAAAACAGTAGCCAGAGCATAAATATTTAATATAAATCTTTATGAGTCTATATACTAGAAATGATTGCAGAAGAAACACAAGTTTGTAGAACATGAGTTCTCTTCCAACTGTATTTTACAAGTTTCAGCCTATCAGTACAATGACATTTTTGCAAGTATCAAAAAAATAAAGCAAAACAGTATTACATTACACGCTCAAGACAACCAAAATAGTGATGTGCTTCACAAAATCTGTACAAGTTAATCCTCAGCAGACCATCCTTGCTTGCTTCCAAACAAAAACGCTTGCTGCCAATGTTTTGGGGTTTTTTTATTATTTTTTATATTTTTTTACAAAATCATGACTACCAGCTAAGACAATGATGCACCTATGCTACCCCTCATCAGCCATTTATCAACTCGTTTAGGATTTAAGTAGCAAGAACCTAAGATGCAAATCTGAAATGCCATGGGTTCGGTGTAATCGAATCTTTGAGAACAGTCCTTTAGCGTCTTCGGGACACAGCGACGCTGTTCTCCAGCTGAACGAATTGAATGCAACCGTTATTTTTCCAGCGAAACTGGCTTCCCGTGAACCATCGCTGAGCTTCAGCTCCACGGCAGCTTTGACCGACCTAAGCTCGCGTTGCCACAATCCCACCTTCTCTTCGTGGTCAGTTGTCGGCTGGCTCGGCTGCCGGCACAGGCCCGCCACGCGGCTGCACGAGCACCGGCGCCGGCAGAGGGAAGCGGGTGGCGAACGTGAGCCAGGGAGGGAAGGCAAAGTAGGCGAGAAAGCCTCCCACGTTCAGTCAGCCCAGGCTGCTGGGGAAGCCGGCTGCAATCCCGACTTTATACTGCTCACAGAATGGATTTTAAAGTCCCTTTTAACTCCAATCCTCGAAACAATCCTTTTGCCTGAAGATACCGACGGAACGCGCGTGATGGATTGCTTCTCCCAGAAAGAGGCGTTTGTCTGCTAAAAACGAAGACATTTACCTCACTCTCAGGAGGCGAGGACCAAGAACAAGGAGCCACGCGCTGCAGTCTGACGCTCGCCACATGGCCTGTGTGACTGCAATTCCTTTATTTCTTCTTGCATCGGTCTTTGATAATGAGTTTAACGAAGTTTAATGGCACGAAACATGGAACTGGCATGGCTGCCGATCAAAGGTACCATCTGTCGTCTTTGCCACAGAGATCCATAGAAGTCCAGGAAAATACTGCCTGTTTAACGTAACGCTCTACTTACAGTGGAAGACATTGTTTGAATCTAAGAGCGACTGGTTTCTCTTGGCACCTGCTGGAACAAACTTGTCCAGCTGAGCTGATATCTTAGCAGTAGGTATTGCCAGTTTTTAAAATTGACAATAGGTGGTGAATGTTTGCTTTCTGGCCTCCACTTCTTGAATTCTATGAAGTTTTAATTTCGCTATCCGTACTAGGTTCATTTCAACTACGCAAGCATTAATTTTACATTGAAATTTTAGCTTTGCAAAGGTGGGCTTCCAGTGGAACATAACGGGAGCATCACACAGCGAGGGGACGAAGAAGGCACAGTTAACTTTTCAAATTCCCCACGCTTCGGCGTACTCGGTGTAGTCCAGTCCTCACTCAGAAGCAAGAGGAATGACGGCAAGGGTCACACGACTGGTTCAGTAGCCGCAATCCCTGCGATACAGGCATCTCATCACAGGCAGGGGCTCGCCTTAGCTTTCGTGTAAACTGTGAAGTTATGGATCTCATCATCTGCTTCAATATACTAACGGTACGTGGTTGATTCAAGGTGGTTTAGACAAAGAAGAATAAAGGGTACGATTTGCAATGCAATGCTATAAGGAAGCCAGAACCAGGAGGAAAAATAAAGGAATCTGGGTATTTACTCAGTAGAGTCACAATATTTTTCTGTTTCTGGCCAGCTTTCCTTACTGAACAAACAAGCTCTACTGCTAACGGCCGTTTCAGACTGCGGGCCCACGTTACTGCTCTGCCGGTGGCAGACGGGGTGATGAGATTTCCACCCGCTCCACCTTCTCCTCCTCCGCTCCTTCCTGGTCCCTCTCCCCATCGGGGCTCGATGCGTTTTCAGCTCGCCATCAGTACGACCGCCCTCGAACTCGGATGTCGGGCAGAACTGCGGTCGGGGAGGGGGGACGATGTGCTACGACAAGGACGCTGGCTTCTCGCAGCGAGCGAGAGCGAACTGCTCCAACAGTTCTGCTGCCAGCGGCGGACGGAGCCGGCCCGCTCTCACCAGCGCCGCGCTCTGTTCTCCTTCAGCACAGCACTCGCACACCTGATGGGTTTTGATAACGCGGTTAAGTGCTTTGTTTAAAGAAGATATGTCTCCTCAGCACGCCTTTGGTTGATACCGCTCTTGTTTTGGGAGATTTTTAATCAGGTCTTGAAACATTCAGGCTTTCTGATACATTTCAAAAGTAATGACAGAATGTTTTCCTACACAGATGGGAGGTGAAATGAATCAAAGGTGGAAAGGAAGCAAATAATACCAAGGTGAACGCTATTGTAGCTATATAGCAACTTAAACAAAAAAAGACTGAACACGTATTGCCAAAATAAGTACGAAAGACGTTATTTTGCTGTCAGAACCAAGAATGCTCAAACCTAGAGCAGAATACATACGGACATGTAAAATTAACACACGATTACCATGATCAAGCAAAAGACCACAAATGAAATCATTAAGAACTTTGGAAACAGGATGCTGTGTTTTCTAAAAATACATAACATCGGAATACATGATACAGCTACAAGATTAACTGCTTAAGTTGCGCAATTCTACATTCAAGACTCGAGTAATGCACGTAGTTGAGACTCCCCCGGTTGTCAGTGTCAGTTCTGGTGTGCACAATTTGAGCCAGACTCGTGTCAGAGACAGAGTTAAGTCTCACCCTCGAGACTAGTAAGACTAAAATAAAACCTGGTGGATTACAACTCTGCTTCATGCAAAGACCGCTTATGCCAGAAGTGTTTGACGTTTTTAGGAACTTACATTTTGAAGAAGGTAGACTCATTCTGCAAGGAAAGTTCAGAATGATAAATACCAGACTTGCAGCACATTAAAATATTAATATTTAATATGTTTACTAAGCAGTCTCTGTTATTTTCGTGTGCATCTATGGAGAGCTAAATCCCTCAATTTACATTTTGATTTCCCTCACTGATCTGATCGTCACAACACAGATACAGCCGTAAAGTGCAATGTATGCTTTGGTTTCCTTAACTAAAGAAAGCACTTTTAGAATGGTTTTAGCCAAAGATAGGACCCACGTGTTTAAGGACATTATTTGAACAGATGACCATCTCTTTTTACAGTCAGAGAAAAGCGATGAACTACTTAACAAAACCCGTTTCACTCTGGTAGACTAGTGAATTTTAAAGCAGTCCTATTATGTCAATTCCTTGGAGAAATTTGGAAGAATTCCACATTAAACAAGGATTCACTGTTAAACTAATTAAAAATCTCAGATTTAGATTTACATTTTGACGAACAACTAAAAAATAGCTGGCAAACCATGTAGCAATTCAAATACAAGCCGACCGGTTTCAAAATCTATAAATATTTCCAGAACCATCTTATCGACATAAAAACAGGAAGGAACGGGGATGGTTACAGGGGTCACACGTCTGCGCAAAAGCATATATAAAGGTAATGTTATGTACATTTTATTTCAATAAAGACATAAGACAAACAGCGTAAAGATGCCCAGATGCCCTAAAGATAAATACATTTAAAAGATTCTCATTAAAATGAATCTGTAGTATTTCTTTCCTGCAAGCAAAATACCTTTCTTTAAATACAAAAAAAATCAGTATTCTGAATTGCAAATGTTTTCACTTTTTTGCAGAAAATCTGCCATGATGATTTTTTTTTAATGAGTAAGGATTTTCCACAAAACAGGCTTGCTCTACATGCTAATTTTTTTAAACAGTTCAGTGACACAATGTGCTAGCTACATACACAACAGATAATATAGTAAGAAAACACTCAACCTGATGAAAAGTTAAAATCTTCATTAATACACTGGAAAAAGTTGACATAACTCATGCCTTTTAAAATCAAAAATACAAAAATTAAATGTTTTCCTAAAAAGATTTTCCTTATTTTAAGGACTCATTTGAAAATGAAGCTGCATGTAATTTGTACAATAAAATTGTACAAGTAAACAGGTAATATACATAAAAAATTAATTGACATACTTCTCAATTATCAGTTGTCCACCTTTAATTTCCAATACTGTACTTTCTTAACAAGCATACAAAATATCAAACTTCTCTTTAGAAAAAGTGCCGTTCTGTGACATCTTTTACACAAAAACAGTCTGAGCCTGTGGCGTGTTAATGCAGTCGAGAGGCAAAGCATCCTAACTTTTACAAATTATACCTTCCATAAAAAGCCTCCTGAAAAGGAGATTACACACCATTATAAAAATATCAGCCTCTTGCGGTAGCTGCATTAGAGAACCCAGGCTGAAAGACTATTTCCATATAGCATAGAAAACCACTATGATAGCAGACTGCCTGCGGCGGTGGCGTGGGAGTGTACTGTACCACAGGAGTATGCATAGTTACTGCCAGGTACCCTCGCTGTCACACAGAGTCTAAAACTGATTGTAACGCCGAGTGTCACAGGGGTACCGCGGCCCATGCAGAACAGCTTACAATACTGAGCCACTGTGCAGAACACGTCAGTCTTGGCGGAAACAGAAGGCAGCAGTAATTGGATTGCATCATACCTAAGAGGTGACCGAGCTAGTTCTCCTTGCAAGACCTGCATGCACAGCATAGTCTGAGGTATTCCTTGTCCATCAGTTGTTTGTGCCACTGCAAGATACTGTCTGTCCAGAATACATGCCATCACAATGGTTTAAAATATTCTGAATATTAGTAATTCTTATATTCTTCTTATCTAGCCAGTCTCTTGATTTTTTGAAAAGATTTCAACTACAGTAGAATATTACAGAAAGAAAATATAAATGCAGGGGTTTTCTTTCTAAATGAAACTTACGTGGGCTAAAACTAGAGAATATTTTTAAACAAATATACAGTATGCAGGCAGACGAAGCAGGAAAACGGCCATCCAACTGTTTAATAAAAAACTAAGAAAATTTGGCTATTTCCAGAAAAACTATGAAGCGCCTCAACTAAAAGGAATGCATAATGAAATTCTAATCTAATACAGGTCAAAAATGTAAAAAGGTTATAAACCTTAACAGGAAAAATAAAACTACTTTTACTGGCCATTCCTGTTGAAATGAGAATCTTAAAAGTAACAGAAAAGTGGCTACAAACCCACTTAGAGCACCGAACAGAGAGAAAATAAGAGTCCATTTTCAATCTCTGTTATATCATAAAATCCTGTGTTTCTACAGGTCAAACTGCTGGTGGCAGAAACAGAATTCTTTATAAACTGCAGATGTCCTGTACATAAAAAAATTTCATTGGAGTTGCACTAGTTCTAAAGACTTTTCTGTTCTAGCCTACCTACTGCGGTGTACTGTATTGTACTGAATGTATCCGATCTCAGATATAAAGTCTCTTTCTGTAACCCTTGATTATTGTTGGGCACCAAAGATAAGAAAAGCAAGACGGGGTACAAAAATGCAAAATTTCAACAGTAATGGCAATGTTTTGTTTTAGTCCAAAAGGGTCCTGCATTTTCTCCCCCTTCAGTAACTGGACAAAAGGCTTTAATCTGGGGGTAGCAAGTCATGCAAGCGAAATCTGTCTCTGATGTGAGGTCGGACATCTTCGTTCTGGGGGGGGGAAGAAAAAAGGCGCCGGTTTTAGGAGAACGAACACAGCTATAAATCAGATTTTAACGGGGTCAATTTTCTAACACCCGTATTTTGATATAACAAAAGATAAGCCACAAATATATGTAATTACAAGAGACTTGCAGAAATAACTACATGAAATTCACAACAATTTAGGAGTAATTCATTTGCATCTTAAGAGTCAAGGCACACATCGCAGCCAATAATAGGCATTATTTAATCTAACTGCCTACAGATTCTCAGTTTCATTAGAACTGATGTTACAATTCTCCATTTCTTGATTAAAAGCACGGTTAGAAATAATGCCATTCTGTCTTTTGCTATGTAAGTAACTCCTTACGCATACTTGAATTACTGCCCAGAGCATCCTTTACAAAGAGAGACATACATGACTTTTAGCAGTTTAAATCTCAGTGACTTAAAAAAAATCTTAAAATAGGTGAAAATACTTTAAAAAGCTAACTAACATTTTTGGGTGAGGGGTGGGGAAGAGCCAAAGAAAGGAAACACTCACCAGCTCTACAAGTTTCTCCAGAAAGGGAATCAATTTTAGGAGTTCGTTGTCATTTTTATCCATGAACCAGCTTTCTATAGGAATTCCATTTGAAAGCTAAAGTAAAAAAAAAAAAACCAACAACAAACCATCGACACATGATTTATACTTCATTTATCTAAAAAGACAACTTGTGAACCAGCATTTTGGGAAAAATGTTTCCAAGCTAGAGTTTATTAATATGTATTTTTCCTCTAAAGTTTGTATTAAAAGTCACTTCCAAAATATCTCCTTCCTTTGCAGACATCACTACAAAAATTTCCACATCAAAGCTGAGACAGAAGTAGCTCTAGTTCTGCCGAACGGAAAAGCGCTGGTATTTTGAGGAAATTTTACATTCGAGCACGCAGGGATACTCGCTGCGTGCTGGCTGTACGCCGTTGGTGCAAATGAGGCTAAGTCAAACAGGTTTGGGGGTTTTTTTGTTCTTTAATGTAGGTGAGACGCTAGAGATCGCGCTCTGCCCTTCTTTATCTATATCGTAGGACTAACTGGAATAGTTACATACCAGACTTCTGGGAAAACCTAAACCACAGGGTACAACTTCATAGCATTTAAGCATAAGCAATTTTCACAGCTGTGTGTCATTTCAACCAGCGATTTGTTCTCAGTCATTTCACTAGCATTAAAAAACTAAATCCACAACAGAGTCCAAGCAGCAGACTTAGCAGACTGGTGGTTTCTTTAGAAAAGCTGAATGAGAAATAAAACCGACTGGTTAGGTAGTCTGTTCGTACAAAGAGTCGCTTCCTTTGCACTTGATCAGCTCCTCACAAAAATAAGAGAGAAGCAAGCAAACCTGAGTGATTTGTTACAGTTTGTTTTGTCAACTTAAATACAAACTTAAGCACAAAGCTTAAATCAGAAGTTAAATCAAAACGCAGCGGTCCACTGTCTTCCTTCAGAAAGCTTTTTGCCGTATCTGAGAAGTTTGCTGACAGCAGCATCCTTACCTGATAAGCAAAGGCTTGCGGTGAATTGTCAATTATGATCGTTTTTGAAAGATCTCTACCAAGGATGTTTAAATCCTTTATGTAATTTCCTTGTACACAAACACAATGCTCACGGAAAAGTCGATGCCTGTGATTAAAGTAAAATACTAGTTAATGAGACAAATTACATCATCTACGCTGCGCAGGGGAAAAGAAGAGTGAATTTTGCCAAATGTTATCCAGTTTTTTTCTC